TAAAAATAATAAAATAAAATATTTTAAAAAAGAAAGCGGGAATTTTAAAAAGCAAATATTTCTAGTCTTTTTGTCCTATACAGCTAGAAAATTCAGATACAATAAAAAAGAGTCATCTCCCCTAGTTGAAGTGACAGGAACATAGAAAGCCAATCCATAGCTCACAGCACCATCTTTCAAATCACAACAGAATTTGACTCTTTTATGTTGTTTTTACAAAGCTCTTGTCATCAATCAAATGGGTGACAGCTTTCTGACAACTGTGTGCTGCTAGATCTGGAGCATCTAGTTAAGAACAGACTGTTTTCCATATTGCCTGTCATGATCCATAGAACTGGGAGGTACTCACGGACACAGAAAGAGCCATTCAGGTATGGAAGGCTACTATGCTTTCCCAGGTTACAAGGTACAGCACCAAAGGCCCAGGGACAGAGTCCTTTGACCAGAATGCAATTGAAGAGCGTGGTTGTACATACCTGTAATTGCAGCACTTAGGAGATTGAGGCAGGAGGATCGCCAGTTCAAGACCAGACTGAGCTATACAGTGAGTTTCAGGGAAGCCTGGACTACATAGTGAGACTGTATTGCAAAACAGACAGACAAACAGTGATGGAAGATAGTGGGTCTCCTACTCAGCCTTCCTGGAATGCCAGAATCAAAGGGGAGTGGAGGTTTGGAGAGACTGGATATTTAATACCATTTCCACAGTGGCCATGTGGTACTCAGGGTCTGTTTGGAGTCTTCTCTTGAGAAGACCACCAAGTCCACTTAGCTCCAATGGATCAGCCTGTACCTGCCTGGAGAAGGGAATGGGTCCAGGGCCCTCTCTTGTGATTATAAAAGTGGCATGTTTCTTTGGTTGCTTATATACCACTTTGGAGAATTTTAAGACACATACTGGGTTTTGTTTTGTTTTGAGATAGGGCCTCACTCTACAGCCCAAGCTCTTCAAACTTGAGCCCTCCTCCTGTCTCAGCCTCCCAAGTGCTTGGATTATGGTGTTTACCATATATCCACTTGGCGCATACTATCCTGATTAAACTGGCTGCAATATTATCAGTGCCATCTCATATCTGGTTCATCCACTACCTCCCTAATCCATTATGAACATCTTACCCTTTAAGCTCCCATAGGGAGTCAAGTATAGGCGACTAGGTCTGCTTCTAGCCTTGCTAACTAACCACAGACTTAAGTCACTCAGAGACTTCTCTATTTCCTTCCAAGAATGATGCTCTCATTAACATTGAAAGACCCAGCTATCTGGTAGCGCCAACTGATAGGTGGGCCTGGGTTGTATAAGAAAGGTAGCTGAGGGGGCTGGAGAGATTGGTCAGCAGTTCAGAGCATTGGCTGCTCTTGCAGAGGATCCAGGTTTGGTTCCAGCACCCACATGGCAGCTAACAACCATCTGTTACTCTGGTTCCAGGGGACCTGATGCCCTCTTCTGACCTCTGTGGACATTGCACGACACAGGTGCACTTACATACATGCAGACAATACACTCATACACATAAAATAAAATAAAAAATGAAAGGTAGCTGAATGTGAAGCCAGTCAGTGGTCTCTGCTTCAGTTCTTGCCTCCAGGTTCTTGCCTTGACTTCCTGCCTTGATTTCCCTCAGGGTCGGATTGTGACCTGGAAGATTAAGCCAAATATACCCTGTCCCCCCCAAGTTGCTTTTGGTCATGGTGTTTATCACAAGAACAGAAAACAAATGAGGACTGTCTCCATCACAGGTGCTCAACCCTGTATTTAGGATATACAGAGCCACAGCATAGACAATATGCAAATGAAGGAGCGTGGCCTCTGAGATGAGAACTTCAAAACTTTGATGTCACAAGTTTTTCTTTCTTGGATCATCTTCCAACCATTTAAAAACATAAAGGCACTTCTTAGCTTATGGCTCATAGTAATCCAATGGTCTTGATTCAGGCATAGCTTGCTGGCCCCAGTCTAAATGGCCTCCCAGAGGTCTCTAGTGAGTTTGAGCCCTGCTGGTGGCAGCAATATCTGTTTATTAGAGTGTCTTGGACTGTTTCCCTTCCTTTCTTGGCACATTCACTTATTCTCTAAGATCATCTTCCAAATAAACCACTTGTCTCCAAAGCCCTCTCAAATTCCCATTTGGTCTTAGCCCTTTTGCCAGACTGGCAAACTGAGTTTCCTGTTTCCTGTTTGCCAAAGTCATAGAGCATAGTTTAGAGCAGGGCAGCTCCAGCAATCACATAGCGCTATCATAGCACCTGGCTCTCTACAAGTTGGCCCCTGGCTCTGTGCCTCTGTATGCACCATTTCTAGCAGGTTTCCAGAGCTCTTGGCTTCTCATCCCACTTCCCTGAAGATGCTTCAGTGAAGGAGGTTTTCCTTTTGTATTGCAGTGCTTTGTTCTATTGGGTAAGGGGATCACAGCAGAGTGTGACAATCAGGCAGGGTGGTTGGGTGTGCCATGGGGGTGAGAGGATTCATATCTCAACTCGATTACTCCTGACAGAACTTGCTCAATTCCTGATTCCTCAGCTAAGGAGGCGGTATCAGAGCTCATCCTTCCTGGGGCTATGGGAGGATGAAGCAGATGTTGATGTCAATCACGCCTTATAGAGTGGAGCACACAACAGGTACTCAATGATTAGAGATGACTACTGCCAATAATAGACAAAAGGTGCTGTAAGAACTCAATGGAAGGATCAGCAGGGCAGCATCACATAGGAGAGGTAGAGGTATATGGGACAGGATCTGAGGGATGAGCACTTAAACCAGGAGAATTGCATGAGCTGTAACACAGTCATGAACCCCCAAAAGGAGAAACTCAGCCTAGCAGCCTCAAGTCTCTGTTGGAGAGAACAAGGAGAAGCAGTGGCGATACTTGTTGAACACAGGTGTAGTGACTGCCTACTTTTGCTGCAGGTCTTGTGCTATGCACTTACAGATCATTTCCTTTGATTTGTACAGTGATGAGTAGATGGGAATCAGTATTATCCAGTTTACAGGGTGGAATAAGAAAGCTCCAGAGGGGCTGAGCTGCCACTTCAGAGGGCCTAATCATGTTTGTCTCACTGCAATATCAGTACCTTCCATTTAACCCTCTGTGCTACATTGATTCTGAACAGAGATGTTGGATAGGCGTGTCCTCCGAATGAACCAGTAGCAGTTGAAGGTCTGAATCTTAAGAGACCCTGTAGACTGAGGGGGAAACAGCCACCCCTCCCACCCAATCGGTCAGCTTCAATTGCACGAGGGGGTGCATCTAAGGACAGAAGCTGAGGAAGCTGGGAAGTGGCGGGAAGTCACCATCTTGGCAGGGCGTGGCACTGGCCGGGCGCTGATGGCAGTGGATCTCAAAAGGCTCAGCCAAGATATAGGGGAAAGAGCCCACAAATGTATGCCTTTGTAAGTAACTCTCTTTGGACATCATAAACTTTATGCAAAAACATGAATAGAATGCACGGTGTCGGTTTTGTTGGTCGGTTGTTAGGACAGTGTGGCCTGGGAGCCAAGAGAGTGCGTGGGTCTCCTAGGAGAGAATTTGGCATTACAAGAGACTAAGCTGGACTTAGAGCTCAGAGAAACATCTTGGAAGGAAGCAATGTCTACAGTGAGAGTTGAAGAATGAGCAGAAATTATCCCTAAGAAAGTGGAGACAGCATTGCAGGCCCCAGTGTGACTTTGGGCTCAAAATCATTCTGGAGAAAGCCAGAAATTTTTGGTCTGGCTGGAGTGCTAGGGTAAGAAGCTGGGTACAGGTGAGAGCTGAAGATGCAGACAAGAGGCTGGTACCCCAAGTGCCTCAGAAACTGCACTACGGTCTCCTAAGTCTTTGGAGCATTTTGAAGGACTTCTTTTTTCTCATTTGGACCCTAAAGCAGCCCTCCACTTAGAGTGGAGAATAGACAGGAAAGCAGCCGGGCTTCTAAGAGAGGTAATGTGAACAGAGGAAGGTGGTAGTCTAGACAGAAACCTGACAGTGGGGACCAGGAAAATGTGAAAGGTGAGAGAGATTGGCAGAAACTGGTAGGGCATGGTGATTAATTGATTAACTGGCCAGGTAAGGAAAGGAAAGTTGTCTGGGTGTCTCCCCTGAGCAGCTGGGGGCCATGATGCCTTCCTTACTGGAAGAAGAGCAAGTAGGGACACACAATACTGATGTAGGTACTCAGAAACCAAAACATGCATCCAGTTATTCATCCAACAAAATTTTATTGAGTGCATACTACATGCCAGACACTGTTTAGAGAGAAGGCAACAGGAAAAGTTGTTCTAAACCTTGGGGCATATGAGATGGAGAACTGCATTTGATGACACATGAATATCCCTGCAGAATAAATAGAATTTCACTTTAATTGGAAGAAGAGTACTTTGGTAATGCCAGAACATCAGAGCTTTGCCTCCCATGCACATCAAGAAAATAAAAAATCTGTCTCCTAGACAACTGATGTGGTTTTAACAGGTGTCTCCCAAAGGCTCCTGTGTTAAAGGCTTGGTCCCCAGTTCATAGTACTATTGGGAGATGGTACAGCCTTTAAGAGGTGGGGCCTTGTTGAAGGAGGTTAGGTCACTGGTGGCATATCCCGGAAGGGGTCATTGGGAGGTTGGACCTTCCTTTCTCTTCCTGCTTCTCACCTGCCATGAGGTGAGCAGCTTTGATCTATTCTACATTCCCAATATGATGTGCTGCTGTACTAGGCCCAAAGGCAACGGAGACAAGTGACTTTGGACTAAAACCTCTGAAACTGTGAGCCAAAATAAATCTTCCTTCATCATGAGTTGATTATCTAAGGTATTTTGTCACAGTAACAGAAAGCTGACTAATACAACTTACAACAAACATACAAGAATGATGGAAATAGTAAGTAGTATCAACACCTCTGATTTCATGTCCATTATCTAAACGCCCTTGGCCAGGGCCTACTTTCTAGTTTTAGGAATCCCAAAAGACTCAGTTCCTGAGTGTGTGGGTGCTGTCCCTTGGAGACAAGGCAAAGGATAAGTTACAGTTTCTGCTTTAAGACAAATTTCTGGGCTTTGGAAGGGGTGGTGGTGGACAAGGAACAATTAAGTAATTAGTAAAGATTCGAGACTCTTCTTCAGTGATTTCTTGGATGTTCTGGAGAGCTGTGCTGCTTACTTTCCTGACCTCACTTATCCATGAACGCTCCTCTACTACTATCACCTCAAAGCTTGACTTCTCAATTGGGATTTCAAAGGTGGCTTCTGACCAGTCTGTGTATATGTCTTCTGAAGAATCTGGTGAAACTTCATCTATGGCTATGAGGCATTGTTCAAGGAGGACATTTTCAACTCTCAGCTCCTTGGTGCCATACAGAGGGTCTCTGGTCATGGAAGGATCTGGGCTGACCACTCTGACGTGGCATGGCAGTCTTGTGACTTCGCACAACTCCTGTAGAGTCCCTGGTCCAACATCCTCAACCAATTCCAGAAAGTCTCCTTCTGCAAAAAAGGGCAGTTTGATGTGGGCTTTGGTGGCAATATTCAGGCACTTGAGGACATCAACTCTGTGCATTTCACCTTGAATTTCGGCAGCAGCCACAGTCCTCTTCAGAGCCAGGAAGCACTCATTGGCTGTGAATGACGCAAAAGCTTCCACATGGGAGGTATAGTCCCTAGAGGACTGGAAGCAGAGCTGTCTGTCTTGCATGGCCGCAGCAACATCAGATATTGCATGGAAATGGCGACCTCTCCTCAGCACCATGCCCTGATAGGTATGTGGGATGAGAAAATACTTCCCCTTCTTTCCTTTAGAAATCTCTGTGGCAATGAATTTTTTTACTTCTTCGGTCCTGAGGATGGTTAAGAGCTGTCCACACTTCAAAGGTTTTGTGGTTATTTCGTTGTTTCCCAGGACCACACTCATTATTTTAATTTTCAGTGGGAATCTGTGTTTTGCCATACTGTATATTTCTCTTGTTGTCATGATTTTAAAGGGATGACAGCCTAAGCCTGTAATATCGGTAACATGAATGTCCAGATTGGAGGGGATGGTAATCACGTTTTCACCTGGGGAAGGAAAGGGGGGAACAGTATGAGGCCTTTGAAATGGAATGAGTTTGAAAAGAAGCACAGCTAGCTAATGGATTCATATTTATTCATATAATAGAGCAAATAAAAGATGATCATCAAGTGGAAATGTTGGAAGATTTCATGAGATGATAAAGTTAAACCGGTGACAGGAGGATGACTCAAACCACCCTTTGCTGTGTGTTCTGCCACTGAGTCTAGTTCTAAAGGATAAATAGGGTGAGCTGCTTAGTTTTTGTCAACTTGACACAAACTAGAGTCACCTGGGAAGCAGGACCCTCAGTTGAGAAATTTCCTCCTGGGATTGGCCTGCGGCCATGTCTGTGAGGAATTTTCTTTGGAGGCATTTTCTTAATTGCTAATTGATACAGGAGGGCCCAGCCCATTACGCACAGTGTCAACTCTGAGTAGGTGGGCCTGGGCTGCATAAGAAAGGGAACCGAGCAAGTCAGGAGAAACAAGCCAGTTAGCAGTGTTCCTCCATGATCTCTAGTTCCTGCCTCAGGGTTCCTGCCTTCAGTTCCCATCTTGGCTTCCCTCGCTGATGAGCTATAAGCCAAAGAAACCTTTTCCTCCCCCAGTTGCCTTTGGTCAGTGATTTATCACAGCAACAAAGAAGCAAGATAGGACATAAGGAATGGTAGAAAGAGCATTCTTTATAAAGGACACGGAGGGCCCAGGGTACACATTCCAGAAAGACTTACAGCAGCTGCTGTGCTGTGGCTTGTGGCTTGTGGCTTCTCCAGTCCCCACAGATCCTCGCCAAGACCTTGGGCAGCAACACGAGCTCTTATCACCCTCAATCTGAGGGTGTGACTAGGAAGATCTGACAGTTATTGGAAGAATCAAGTGGCTTGCCAAAATGAGCAATTTAAGAAGAGTTTAATACAGGTTTTATGTGTGTGAGTGTTATGTGCATATGTGTAAGTGCCCGGATTGCTTGGAACTGGAGTTATAGATGGTTGCTAACGGCCATGTGGGTGCTGGGATTCAAATCCCAGTCTTCTGCAAGAGCAGTCAGTTGTCTTAACCGCTGAGCTATCTCTCCAGCCCTTATTTTTAAATTCCTGAGCAGTGTATGTGGGAGGCACCTCCAGATAGCAGGGCCTCTCCCTTATACAATCAGCACAACTCAGAGCTGCCTGGTTGGAGTACTGGGCAGAGGGACACAGCCAATTCATCAATATAGTTACAAGTCCATCCTTCACCCTCACTTTCCTGAATCCCGTAAGAACTTCTCTTTTTTAGTTGACTCTAATCTGAAGGAAGGGAGGTAGGTTGACACCATCCTTACAAGTCAGCCCCAGGCTCTGGGTTGGGATGGAGAGGTGCAAAGAAAGCTGGGTCAAAAGAATGGTTCCTGTGGTGGGAGGGTAGGTGATTTGCCTGGAGTTGAGACAGGAAAGTGCAGGCATGTGTGTGTTGACACCATTGTATTGGAGAGGAATGCATGGGAATCTACCAGAGTGTGGCTGTGGACTTAACTCAGCATCCTCCTGCCTCAGCCTCCTGAGTGTGAGGATTATAAGCTTACAGAGATTTCTTTTGCTTAAATTTTCTTTTAAGATAAAAATAGCAATGTATCACTATTAAGGTGATGGTTTTAGTTGCATTTCAACAAGGTCATTTAAACCCCAAGATTTCTAAGTGGAAAAGACTTTGAGCAAGGGATGGAGAAATTGAGCATTTATACAGCACAATGAGCTATCAGCTGCCTCTCATGTTTCAATTTTCCCTCTTCAGGTTTCCCTTAAAAATTAAAATGTAAGAACGATTAGAGGGAAGTTTAACTAGATGTATCATTTTTATTAACAATGGAGGCAATAATTTCCTACATGCAGGGCTCTTGTCTGAAGAATACAGATTGACCCTGAACCTTAAGGCTTCTATAACTAGAAGGATATAGTGAGCTCAAAATGATGCTGAGATTCATGTTTCAGGTTGCCTGGAAAGGAAGACTTACCCTAAAGCAAAATATTGGGACTCTTCCAATAACTGACTAATTAAAAAAAAAAAAAACCTGAAACTGAAGTCACATCTCTCTTAAGGGATTCTTATACATGAGCATTTATTGCAAATGACTTTATGCGATTGTTAGACCTAGATTCCATGTATTTGTTGTCACTGGTTTTAGGAAAACATGGACATAATCATTTAAATTCCATAGGAAGTTGAGAAGCGGCCAGATGTCAGTTTGTAATTCTAGCACTGGGGGGGGTTGGGAGGAACTGAGGCAGGATGATGCTAAGTTCAAGGCTAGCCTAGACTACTTAGCAAGACCCTATATGAAAAAAAAAATGGAGTTGTGAAGTGAGAACTCTTAATAAAACTCAAAGAGCCAGAGATAGTGGTGCGGGTCTATAGCCCTAGTCCCTGAGGAGGCTGAGGCAGGAGGATTACTTGAGTTCATGAGTTCAAGATTAGCCTGAGCAATATAGCAAGATCCCACCTCAAAAACAAAGTTTCAAAGCGTATCAGCTTAAAACACATACTCTATGGTTTTAAATCCATAGGAAACAGTGAGACCATGGGCTATGGCAGATTGTATCCATGATTCATGGTTAATGGTTGAATGACTGAAACAAAGCATTAAGCACTATTCAAAGAGGGAATGAGGACCATGGGGAAAAAGCAAGGCTGGTGAATCCTGCTGGCCAGACCTACCTACCAGCTATGCTTCCCAGCTGGGAATCCTGGGGCAAGACATTTAAGTAATGCAGGTTGTATTCTCATCTATAAAAGGAGAATAGTCTTCCCCTCCTTTTCTACCAGTGGTAAAGATCAAATGAAAAATTGGTGTGAGAGTGTTACCTGCATTGCTTAGGTTTATGCAAGGAAGGTATTTGTTTTTCTAAACTCAAAACATTTTTTTCCAGAAGGGGAAGAAATCTATACTGCAAGGTAGAAACCTCTATTTCCCCAGGTGCTTAGCAGATGGTGCAGCCCCAGGGGGCCCTAACAATGAAAACTTGAAAACTTTCCTTTGTGACTTGGGAATGTGTTCTTGGTATCTATGAAGCAATTCTTCAATCTAAAGGAAGTAGAGACTACTGTCCAGTAGTGATAGATCTTTGGATGTCATATTGGGAGCCAGGACAGGTGACCCTGCTGTAGTTCCTTCTCAAGAGCTGGGGTACCCTGGAGAGGCTGTCTACTTCAGAAGAGGTAAGACCTGGACTACTAGAAGGGAATCTGGATGCATTTGGTTGGGCTAGAGATAGGAATCAGGACATAGAGTTCATAGTAGTCTGATCCACTGAAAGGGAATCTAGATCCATCTGGTTGGGCCCAGAGGGAGAAGTAAGGATGGACATTTCACAGTAGAGGTGGCCTGGCAGATTGAGCCTGGCACAGCTTTAGGCTGGTGTACCTAGGATGTTACCACTGGCCCTGCCTGGACCAATATCTCAGACAGCCTGACCCCATAACCATGTCCCTTTGTCTGGCCCTGGCTGGTGCCTGGCAGCCATGTTAATCTCTTTACTAGACAGAGTCATTGCCTGAAGGCCAGGGGCCCTAGTCTGCTTAGACCTTGACCACTGATAAGGAACCTCTCTCTTTTTGTTCTTTTAACTTCATCTTTCACTTGAAGAAGAGTAAATCTCAAACAGAAGCTGTCTTAGAGACCATGCTTCCCACCATGGCTCAGGTCCTTAAATTTCCATTTTTCTTTTGACCTGGTCCACCAAGATCTTCCCCTCGTTCATGCTGATCACTGCACACCTGCGTTTCATCCTTCCACTCAGTAAACTCAGCCTGAAGTGAAGGCTTGAGTGTGCTGGGAGGGATGGGGAAGAGCTTTGCACCTGCTGTTTCCTTCTGGAATCAGGGAGCATTTTTGTCACTATTATTATCTGTAGCTGCTGCAGTCACCTCCAGTTGGGACACTGCCTTTGACCAGATGAAATAGTGGAAAAAAACTGTCCTGTGGTTAGTTTTGTAGCTCCTAAGGTCTTAGTGGCCCTTCCTCATACACTACACGGACAGACACAGACACACAGACAGACACACACACACACACACACAGACACACAGACACACACAGACACACACAGACACACACACAGACACACACACACAGACACACAGACACACACACACACACACACACATTTTTGAAACAGGGTCTCCCTGTAGCCCCACATGGCCTAGAACTTACTATGTAGACCAGGCTAGTCTCCAGCTCAGAGATCACCTGCTTCTGCCTCCTGAGTTCTGGAATTAAAGGTGTGTGCCATCCCTTCCAGCTCCAATAATATTTTTAAAATTTTGTTTATTAGTGTGT